AAGTACGATTTACATACAAGAGAAAGGAAGATGGGGGGTCGTTTAAGCTTTGGGAATTGCTAAAAGGCCCAAGAAACCGAGCAGAAAAAAAAAATCGCAATGCACTGAACGTCTGACAAAAACAGCTTCCCCGGCGACGCATGGCACGTGGTGGTCGAACGACCGGGATGTGGTGGTGAGACGGTCTTGTAGAGCGTGGTTTGTATGTATAATTTAAAGTATAAATAATCCAGAAGACATATAGAATTTGTGTTCAATTAAAGAAATATATTGTTTACAACCATAACAGTCGCCATCTCGTCGTCCCGTCCTGTCCTGCTTCCACCGTCAGTTCCAATCCTCCCGTTCAAATGCTCTCCCGTCCCTTATATATCACGCTCTTATCCAATCACTGTCCAGCTCTACTCTACTCTAGCCAATCACACACCACTCTCTCCCTTGTTCAAACTATTACGCGGGAAATGTACATATGGTCGACATCTGTATACGTGTCAACCTCACATCCGCAACATATCCGCGCCGTACCCAACCTAACTATTTCTCATCTGTATGCCAAACGCCCAACCCTTCTCTCTGTAAAACCCACCCTATCTACGATTACTAATCCAATGTGACATCTGTACAACATATGTAAAAGAGACGTTACAGTCTCTCTTGCGTGGTGCTTGCAGGGTGGTTCGGATAGGATTAACACTACCGGTCTGAAGCAGGCTGTCAAGGCGATCTGTACCATGATGCATCGCCTAGAGACGAACGATATCACACGCGCACTGCAGGTGAGCGATCACCGATTATTGATTGATTATCATTTATAATTGATTATTGATCGATTAGTAGTCATTGGTTATTGATTGATTAGTGTCCGTTATTGATGGATTATTATTCATTATTGACTGTTAACTGTTGATTTTATTAATTATTGATGATTGATAAATTCGTGATTATTCATTATGATTTTTGATTTATTATGATTGATTCTTGTTTTTTCAATTACTATTATTCATTCTTTATTGTTCTTTATAGATTATTTATATTAATTGACATTGTTGAATTGAATATATTAGTGTTGCTAGTGATACCTTTCCTCTAAAGCCAATTATCAGCATGGCAGCATCAGCATGTGGTTTTGCTTTTCTCGATACACAAGCAGTGCACAAGTGTGCACGCGAAATTCCGCGACGTGTTGACACCAGGGGGCGCCATGTTTGTGTTTCAGGAGCTGACGGAGGCGGCGGCGGGGGACGAGCGCACGGCGGCGGCTGACACTGAGCATGCCAACTTCACCGTCGTCAACGTCTCGCGAAACAGGTGAGCGGGTGACGCCAGCGGACTCAACAGCCTACCAGCGGCGCGCTGTTCACTTTGCCGGTCGCACCCCCTGGTAGCGGTGCAGTAAACGTTGACTATAGACTTGACGTTGACTATAGACTATAGACTATTAGTGGAAGTCAGCGATGGGATTCGTATGTGCGCCGTTTAGGTTAACACCATCTGTTTTTAATACACTGAAACGTAATGATATCTGTGATAATGTAACTCCGTGACTTTTGCGTACGCACTTTTATCATGACCGAGTGCAGAGTTGGGTGTCCTCTTTTGTAGAATGGTGTCCAGTGGGTGCAGGAAGCAGAAATGTAGCCATGCAGTACTGCTGCTACTGCTGTATTGTTACAGTAGAGAGGGGACTGTCTGATAGGGTCAGGGTAGTGAGGAGGTACCTACCTCTAAGCATGTAGAATACTAACACTGCTGCTGCTGCTGTATTGTTACAGTAGTGAGGGGACTGTCTGATAGAGTCAGGGTAGTGAGGAGGTACCTACCTCTAAGCATGTTTTGAATACTAACACTGCTGCTACTGCTGCTGTATTGTTACAGTAGTGAGGGGACTGTCTGGCAGGAGATACCTACCCGTGGAGTGTCGAGTATGTTGTATACTAACCACGCTACTCAGGGAAAAAAATAAAATTTGGGATTTTTCGGAGGGCTACTTTTTAAGCTCGCGTGCATGAAAATAGCACTCTAAAGTTTGGTTTGCATTGAACTCTATGCAAATTTACGGGGGCTCTTTTTGGCATTTCCAGGGCTCTTTTTGGCATTTCGGGGGCTAAATCGCCCTGTGCCCCCGTGTATTTTTTCACTGACGCTACTGCTGTCGTTGTCGTTGCAGTAACATGATCATGGCCGTGGAGCATTTGAACGATGCCTTGCGGCGGCTGGTCGTCATGTACTGCGCCGCCTTCAAACCCAACTTCACCGTAATCGCGCTCTGCGAGCCGAAAGGTAGGCAAGCGAGGTCGCGCGATGTGATCGCTCCCGGGAGGAGGAAACAGCGTGGAGTGTTGCCAGGTTTAGAGGGAAGAAGAATTGTAGAATTTAACAGATTTGTTTGTTGTAGAAAATATGGGGGATTTACTGATTTAGGGCAGTGAAGAAGGCACTGTACTCCCACTCACTCAAATCACCCAACTTCTTACTTACATATCTACATGCCTTCGTGTACACTCAACTGTCCACCTTCCTGTCTACCTGCTTACTTGCCAGCCTGCCTGCCTGCCTTATTGTCTGCCTGCCTGCCTTCCTGCCTCCCTGCCTGCCTGCCTTCCTTCCTGCCTCCCTGCCTGCCTGCCTTCCTTCCTGCCTGTTTACCTACCTATCTATCTACCTCCCTGCCTACTTATAATTACCTACCTATCTACCAACCTACCTATGCACCCACCTATCCACCTACCTAGCTACCTACACACCTGCCGTCGTGCGTTACAGGTGAGGCGAAGCTCGTCACGGACATGCTCGACAACCTGATCCTGAACGTGGTGTCGGCGCACCGGCTTCCCGCGCGCTGGAGCGCCCTCTACGACAGCTACCGGCTCAGCTGCGGCATCCACCATGGCACGCGGCGGCTCTGCCCGGACGTGTGGACGAAGGCGACGCGCGCCGCCGCCGAATTCTTCGAGAAGCTCGTCTTCGACGAGTGGTGAGTGTGGAGAGACAAAGTGTTGCGAAGTGTTGCAATGCGTTGCGAAAAGTTGCGAAGTGTTGCGAAGTGTTGCGATGTGTGGCGAAGCATGGCGAAGTGTCGCACGCACGCGCACTCGTTCGGATTCGCTGCTTTTCTGCTGTGTTACTCTGCTTAAGTTGTGCACTCACTATGTTTGAAGATCCCCTTTCCTCCCCTTGCTTTTCCCTCCGCCCTGTAACACATCACTTAACTACACCGTTAAATCTTGCCACCCGTACTACCCTGTAACGCGGCGACGGTGTCTCCGCAGGGTGCAGTACCCTACGCTGCCGCTGTGCCTGCTGCCGCGGGAGTCGCGGCTCGTGCTGAGGCTCTACGGACTCAGGGTAGTGCCGTCGGAGGGCAAGAACGAGGTGGAGAAGCAGGTGCGCGACATCATCGGATGGACGTCGCTCGACCTGTTCGACCTCGAAAAGTGAGTAGTACGACCTTGACACGTGAGTGGTAATATAACCTTGAGAAGTGAGGCGTAGTACGACCTTAAGAAGTGAGTAGTAAGTAATATGACCTTGAGAAGTGAGTGGTAATATAACCTTGAGAAGTGAGTAGTGCTAGTATGACCTTGAGATGTGGGTGGTAATATAACCTTGAGAAGTCAGTAGTAATATGACCTTGAGAAGTGAGTGCTTTGACCTTGAGAAGTGATTGTTCGACCTTGAGAAGATATTTAATGCAGAAGATTGAATTCAGTCACTGTCGCTGCAATATCGTGTCGTTTGCAGTACAATTGGATTGTGACGCGAGGTTTTGCACACGCTGCTGACTGTGCGCATTTCCGATAGCTTTTTGCTCGTGCATGTTACAAATGTCCGCGTCTGTACGTGTGTCTGTATGTGTGTCTGTACGTGTGTGTGTGTACGTGTGTCTGTACGTGTGTCTGTACGTGTGTGTACGTGTGTCTGTACGTGTGTCTGTACGTGTGTGTGTACGTGTGTCTGTACGTGTGTCTGTACGTGTGTCTGTACGTGTGTCTGTACGTGTGTGTGTACGTGTGTGTGTACGTGTGTCTGTACGTGTGTCTGTACGTGTGTCTGTACGTGTGTGTGTACGTGTGTCTGTACGTGTGTCTGTACGTGTGTGTGTACGTGTGTCTGTACGTGTGTCTGTACGTGTGTCTGTACGTGTGTGTGTACGTGTGTGTGTACGTGTGTCTGTACGTGTGTGTACGTGTGTCTGTACGTGTGTGTGTACGTGTGTCTGTACGTGTGTCTGTACGTGTGTCTGTACGTGTGTCTGTACGTGTGTCTGTACGTGTGTCTGTACGTGTGTGTGTATGTGTGTCTGTACGTGTGTGTGTACGTGTGTGCTTCCTGTCTTCGCAGTGAGTTGGCGCAGGGCACCTATCTGCTGGGAATGTGGATGGACAGACCGGTGGAACCTGTCGGACCGCGGGGATCAAACCTAGACCAGCCAGACAGCGTTCTCCTACAGGTAAATGTTGACACGCAGGCTGGTGGGCAGGTGGGCGGGCAGGTAGGTGGATGGGCAGGTAAGCAGGCAGATAGGCGGGGGGCAGGTAGGTGGATGGGTGGGTAGGTGGGCAGGCAGGCAGGCAGGCTGGCAGGCAGGTAGGCAGGCAGGCTGGCAGGCAGGTAGGCAGGCAGGTAGGCAGGCAGGCTGGCAGGCAGGTAGGCAGGCAGG